TGCTGAAGCTGCAGGTCCCATGGCAGAGACCTCATCTCTAACTCACAAGACAAGGGGAGAGGCACTCAGGTAACAACAGCCTTCAAACCTCCATACCTGTCCCCTCGGATTCAGGGCAGAGGAGGAGGATGCTTCCACAGACAAACTACAGCGCAGACCAGCTGCCCCCAGCATCCCCGCTCCTCCTCACCTCCCACTCCCAGCAGCAGCCTCAGAGCTGTACCAGCCAGTCGGGCTCCAGCGTCTGGTCCCGTTCCCGCATTTCCACGGGAGCAGAGGGTCGGAGAACTTCAGCCGCTCAGCTAGCTGCAGAGCCAGGAGGGTATTGGGGCTCATCACAGATCTCGGCTCCATGGGGGAAAGACCAACCCTCGGAGCAATTGCAAATGGCCCGGGGGAAAATAGCACCAGAGCTGCACTGCTTCATAATATGGGGGTTAAAGTAACACCAGCCTCTCGTGCAAGATTTATTCCCTCTCCTGAACTGCCGCAGAGAGGTGCTGGCCCGACCCATGCCCCACAGAGAGCCTCCCAGCAGGGCTAGCTTGGCCGCCTCCAGAGAGGTCAAAGATGCTGCTCACATTAGAGGTGGGTAGCTATCATCGTCCTTTTCTCCTTCGAGGTAAACGAGCACCTTTAATCCCACTCAAAAGCCAGCCCTGGACACCAGTGGGTTTGCAGGACATCCCAGCAGGAGCACTGGGAACAGCCCAGCTCCCAGGGCTGTGCATCAACCCCTTACCTACCCTCTATAACGATGGATGGGAGCCGGTCAGGTTTGAGCAAAGGACTCACCTGGCCTTTCCCTCATCTGGCTTTGCAACAAGCATTACCATCACTAATAACCACAGAGAAAACAAATACCAGGCTGGGAGGGACCCCGTGAGGTTGCCTGATCCATCTGCCAATGCTCAGGAAAACCCTGTGCGCCCACACCAGCCGGCACAGCCCGTGTTTGTCCGATCTGCACTTACAGATCTCCAAGGAGAAGATTTCACAGCCTCCCAGGCCTGTCCTGATGCTCACTGCCCTCAGAGTTGAAGAATTTTTTCTTAATATCTAAGTGAAATCTTCCCTGCTGCAAATTAAGCCCCTCGATTCCTGCTCCCGTGGAAGCTGCGGGGAGGGCCCGGCACCATCCGCTGCAAAGCAGCCTCCCACCTGCCAGAGTGCCCTTTATCACATCCCCCGTACCCCTGCCTCCCCCCGCATATCTTGCCTGGAGAAAAATAACCTCCTTCAAAGGTCGTTTTCCCCTCAATCTCTTATCATCCCTGCTCTTTTCTGCATTCGCTCCTATTTGGCCCTGCCTCCAAGCGCAGCATCCCGAACGGGGCACAGTGCCCCAGCCAAGACCCCCGAGACCCAAGCACGGGGGGGGATTATCACCTCCTTGTCTCACACATCCCCGTTCTTGCTCTCACAGCCCAGAATAACGTTATAACATCGGATTTTTTTTTTTTTTCCCCTTTGCAACTGCATCCTATTACATTGCTGCTTGGTATTTTTTCCGTGCTCCACTATCTCCCCCAGGTACCTCTCTGCAGTATTCCTGCTACGTGTTTAATTTCTCCGGCAAGACAAGGGTCCACACTGCCCTGGCTGCACCGTCTCAATGGCTTAGAGCTCCAGCTCCCATCAACGGAGCAAGAGGCTCTTCCTGGGGTGACACAACCACCGGCCCAGGGTGCGATGGAGGGCTCCCTGCAGAGCTAAATCAGTCTGGACAAATTGCTTAGGCAAGGGTCCAGTTTTAGCA